CTGAGACCACGCCCCCACTGAGACCACGCCCCCCTCTGCAGACAAACCAGCCCTTTAAGAAGTGCCTCCTTTTCTTCTCTTCACTTCCTGCGGGGCGTGAGGTGGTCTCTGTGGCCACAGGCCGGGCAGTGATCACATGACCTGGACGAGGACAGGGATTGGCTGTTTTCTGATCACATGACCTGGACGAGGACAGGGATTGGCTGGTTTCTGATTATATGACCTGGACGAGGACAGGGATTGGCTGGTTTCTGATAATATGACCTGGACGAGGACAGGGATTGGCTGGTTTCTGATCACATGACCTGGACGAGGACAGGGATTGGCTGGTTTCTGAGCCCGCTGAAGAATGTTGTCCTGTAAATATCTGCTGCTTTACTCACTGAGACGCCTTGATGAAGCTTTGAAAACCCGTCTGGTTCTGATGGTTCTGTTCCTGACAGCTCCCCGCAGGACCCATCACAACACAAACACACAAACAACAACACAAAGCTTTCTGCTGTCATCAGGACCAGAACCTGACAGGAAGCAGGTCGTTTCTGTAAAAAGCTTTTAGATTCTCAGATTATTTAACGTCAGCTGATAGAAAATCTGAGCTTTTATCTAAATAAGAAATATTAAAATCACTTTGTCTCATGACAGAACTTCAGTTCACATTAAACCCAAACATGTTCTGGTTCATGTTTTGCAAAACTTACTGTAGAAAAGTTTCAGGTTTTAATTTGARGGTTTGATTTTTCTTGATTTAACACAAACTCAACATTTAATTTCATGAAGTCATGTCAGATTTACAGATTACAASTTTAACTTCTGTTTTCATTTTAAAGGGAAAGTTCAAACTGCAGAACTTCAACTGTTTGTAAAATAATTTTCTTCTCTAACGTGACTCAAACTTTCTTTTAATCTTCAAACGTTTGAAGCTTTATTTTGCTGCAGACAGACTGAACAAGAAGAAGCTGATTCAGCAGATTTCTGTCAGAAAAGACGTCAGCGGTGATGATGAKGAGATGAATAAACTCAGGTTTAATTAAACCCAACCTGATCAGCTGTGAAGCTTCAGTTTCACACAGTCCTCAGTGTTTCTGTAGTTTGTAGTTTCCTCCGGCTGAATGTATCCTCGCTGATGGACACCAGAGACGCCCCTGGCTCCGCCCCCTGGCCCTGGCTCCGCCCCCTGGCCCTGGCCCCGCCCCCTGACCACGGGCTTCACTGTAAACGCTTCAGGCACCTTTCTGCTGTTTGTATGAAGCTGTTGTGTTGGCGTGTTGTCGGTCCATCACAGCTTTTGTACTCACCGTTGTCGTGCATGTTGGCCAAACTTGTTGTGTTGCTCACAGACTCTACACACTTTTCTGTATTTATTTATTAAACACACACATTAGCAGAAAACCTTGTTGTGTGGCTCGTTACTGTTTTATTCTCGTCRTTTGGGACATAATGAAGAAATATATGCAGATGTTAAATATTAAGCTGTATGTGTGAACATGTTTASTTTAAAATACATCAAGTGTTTCACTTCTTTAAACGTTTTATTGAGAAACATTAAAATCTGAACATAAAGAATATCTACTTTATTAAATGATAAAAACTAATTACTTCCATATAATC